CGGGGAAGAGCTCGTCGTCGTCGTCGTCGTCGAAGTAGGGCTCCGCGCCGAAGGCGTCCAGCCCCGCGGGGAAGTGCTCCAGCAGCACGGCCTCCATGCTGCGCGCCTGGCCCGCGCGGGAGCCGAGCGGAGCGGAGCGGCGCGGCGCGGGGCGAGGCCGGGCGAGGCGAGGCGGGCGAGGCGAGGCGAGGCCAGGCGAGGAGAGCCCCCTGCCTCGGGTTCCCGCGGCGCCCCGCTCGCTGCGTGCGTGCGCGCGCGCGCTCCCCGGAGGGAGGCTGGAGCCTTGCAGGAGCCCCGGGCCGGCACGCGAGGATTCTTATAAGTACAACCGCAGGCGCGTGCCGCGGACCGGCCGCGCCAGCCAATCAGCGCTCAGCCAGGCGGGGGAGGGCGCCGGGGGACCCGGGGCGCGCGGGGCCGGGCGGGGGGCGCACCTGGGCGGCTGCTGCGGGGCGGCCGAGGCGACCTGCCGCGCCCGGGCCGGGGCGCAAGAGGAGCGCGCGCCGCGCTCCGCCCGAGGAGCCGCCGCGAGAGCGAAGCGGCGCTCCGGCAACGGCTCCCTCCCTGCGCCGCCCGGGAAGGCGCCCTCCGTGCGCCGCTGGAGCCTCCGCGCCGCTGCGCTGCACCGCGCAGGGGACGCGGGAGAGTTGCCGGGGCGCAGTGCGGCGCTTCCGCACCCGCTTCCTCGTGCAGCGAGCCGGCTCTGGCCTCTGGCGAGGGGAGCCCCGGACATCTGCTCCAAAGGGCCACCCTGGCAGCCCCAGGATCAGCAGGGACCGCAATGGAAGAAGCAAGGCGCCTCCCTTCCCGCTTGCCCTCAGGGCCCCCTTGGGCATGCCCTGGCCTCCAGCACCGCAGGGGCCAGGAGATCCTCAACACTCTGGGGCGGACTTCAGTTCCCATCAGCCCCAGCCAGCAAGCCAGTGGTCAGGAATGCTAGGGACCAGAGGCCAAACATCAAGAGTGCGTCAGGCTGGGGAAGGCCATGCTCAGGGCTGCATCTAAGATTAGCCTAATGCAAGTTCCATGCATTTCAGTGGCTCCGCTCCAAGGAGGGCCACTGTTGGAGGGAACCCTAAGTGTCCAATCCTGGATACGCCTCCTAGAACCTGTCTCTCCCAAGGCTCAGTCCAGCACTTTTACCACTATGTCACACTGGTTCTCAGCTTAGTATTTCAGAGTAAGTGTGAGATCTCTATTTATATGCTCTGACTGGAAAATAAGAACCAGAAAAATCAGCAGTAAGACATACTTCTAAAGAAAGTGTATTTAGAAGACAGCTGCAAGTTTGGTGATTATGGGAGCTGGATTCAAGCGCACTGGAAAGCACAAAGTAGGTTGGTAGGTCTAGAAAGATGCTACCACCTGTTGAAAACCTAACAGAAGCTAGGAGATGAATCCAATGGGAGCAGGCATTCTGCGGGGAGCTTCCCTCTCCTTTTTAAGAGTATAAGAAAAAAGCCGGTGGGTGAGGCCAGGGGTCCATCTAGCCCAGCATTCTGTTCACACAGTAGCTGACCAGCACCCTGGGGGGGGGGGGGACCCCTGGGCAGGATATGAGTGCAACACAACCATCCTACTCATGTTACCAAGAAGGTGGTGCACACATGCATAGCGCCTCTGATACTAGAAATAACAGCTGACCATGAGGACTAGCAGCCATTTATGGCCTCATCCTTCATGAATTTGTGTTATCTACTTAGTTGATGGTCATCACTACCTCCTGCAGTAGGGAACTCCATATGTGTTGTCTGAAGAAGGACTTCCATTTATCTCTCCTGAATCTTCCAGCAAACAGATATAAGTAACTGAAAGGGTGTCACAAAGAGGAAGGTTGAGATCTCTTCTTGCTGATGCCAGAGTGTAGGACATGGAATAATTCAAGTTGCAACAACCCAGATTCAGGCTGGACTTCAGGAAAAGCTTCCTCACTGTCAGAGCAATACAATAGTGGAACCAGCTGCCTAGGGAGGTGGTGGGCTCTCCCACACTAGAGTCATTCAGAAAGCAACTGGGCAGCCATCTGAGTGGGATGGTGTAGCATGGTGTCCTGCAACAGCAGGGGGTTGGACTCAATGGCCTTCATGGCCCCTTCCAACTTTACTGTTCTATGGGTCTCTAGTATTATGAGGTAGAAAGAAAAATTACTCCCTTTCAACTTTGCAAGATCCTAGCAGGGCTGTCATGATTAAGTCATTTTGAAGGGCTTTCATTCATAAGGTCACCATAAGTCAGAGACGACTTGATGGCACATAACAACAAAGCAACTTTCACCACATCTCGCATGATTCTGATCACATTTAGCATGTCTTTCCTTGCTCATCTTTTTTCTAACCTCAGCAATCCCAAATGTTGTAACCTTTCCCCATAAGGGAATTGCTTCAGCTGCTTGACCATTTTTGTTGCTTTTCAGCTTTTTTCTCCAGTTGTGTGCATGTTAAACCGTTAAAGATGTGCCATGATGTTTACTGCTCCTTAACAAAAACAACAACCGAAGCGTTGATTTATTGAGTATATTGTGAATATTCTGGTGACATGGAACAGCATCTTTCCCTTAACACATCAGACCCAATTACATCAGCTTCTTGTGATTGGGTGTATATTGATTTTAAATATATCGGATTTTACTGTTCCCACTCTTGACAGCTGCCTTCTACTCCTCTTCAATTCAGATCCTACACTGCAGCAATCTTTCCCTGACTCCATTAACTGATGGAACGGCTGCTTATTCTGAACTGGGGCAACTGGGCAAAATGCTCTGACCACCATTATTCTTTCTGCTTCTTTATCCTAGCAACAATTAACAGGGAATCAGAGAGAAGCAAGGCAGTCATCCTGCCGAGGCTCTTTTGCCCTTGAGATCCAGGTCTGAAACCAGAGTTCAGTCACAAAGAGCAGGAGCATGGGATTGATAATGACCTGCTGCAAGGCATGGTTGAGCAGTGAAAGCCCTGGATGAGCAACTGATAATATTAAAACTCTAACCAAGTTTCATGGTGAGAGGGGCTAAGAAGGTTTCATAACTTGAACACAGTGGGAATTCCTTCCCAATAAGAGCTGAATCCAGATGTTCCGTTGATTTGTGCCAGTAAGAGCTGGGTCTCGATGAATGCCTTGATGCAGGTGGACCTCCCTGCCCAACCCCCTGAGAGTACTGCACAGAAAGTCTGGAGACCCTGCTGAACGGGGTGAGCTGAGGTGTGCCTGTGCAGGGGAGGAGCGATGTCCCCCCAGACTGGGTGGAAGGGACACTCGGAAAAGGCAGGTCTTAAACCCAGCCTTCCATGTGCTTCGAATAGAGGGCCACAGCCTCTCCCATCCCACACATGGACCCTAAGCATTTGCTCAGAGCAAAGCTGCAGGGAAAGGGCAGCCCTGCTCTGCCTTTATGCAAGGCAAAGCGGACTGCAAAAGGGTAATGAATGACCAAACTTCAAAGCCCTCCACAAACTGCGATAAGGTGAAAAATAATCAGGGGATGGAGGGCAGCGAACAAAGGTTCAATTCTTGGGACACCCTGGCTTTAGGATGATGCCTTCTGAAGCAAAGGGGAAATGAAACACTTGGTAAGGGTTGAAGCATTCCTGGATTGATCAGTGGCAGAGATCAATTTGTCCATTCATCACAAACTATCAGTGTGAATGGCAATCTGAGTTGCCCCTGCGCCTCAGAGCATTTCCTGAAGAGCATGTATGTGCCCCTCAATAGAGGTTATGGCTCAGCAAGGACCAGTATATTGCCTTCTGCCCTTTCAACACGTGGCTTGGCTTGCTTGCTTGTGCCACCAGCCACACTGTGGTCTAAATAGGGTGAGTTTCGTGTGCACATGGCTACTACCATGGGAAGAATGAAGGTCCCAGCAAGGTCATCCTGGAAGTTCTGCCTTTCACCTGGGTGTTGTTAGCCTTAAGTTGCAATCCAGTGCATATTTAGAAAGAAAAAAGACAACTCTGAGCGAACAGGAGCTGTAGGCTGTTTTTCTGTCTAAACATGCATGGTGGCACCCTTAATTTTATAACGTATCTCTGTGCAGAATATTTTTGGACCTGGATCTGGGAGGCCAACACCTGCACTTATGTGGCCCTGGGTAAGTGACTCCCTTCCAGACTCAGTTTCCCATCCATTAAATTGACTGTAGTCTGAGGTGACTTAAAAATGGACTAAAATGCCTTTTTATATTAAACAAGCCACATGAATATTAGAGTGTAATTGAGGGCTCAGTCCTCCACATTTTTAGATATGCAGAAGGTGACATCCTTAATTCCTTCCAAAATTAGGAGCTGACATTAAATATCAGTTCCAGGTTCAAGTGGAAGTTTGGGAAGATGTAGGTTTGACAGGGACTGGATTTGCTTTCCATGAAACTCAGTGCAGATTGAGTTCAGTAGGAGTTCGCCTTCGAGTTGACCCAAAAACAAAATATGGAGGACAAAATCCTGTCCAGAGGTGGTCTTCACAGTGGTGCAGCCTGGCTTTGACCACCTTTAGTGAACTGGGGCAGGAATGAGGGTTTGGATTTTGCTTGCAGATCTATGAGATGAATGGAAGCAGCAAAGCATGGAGGTCCCCTTGTGGCCCTTCAGGTATTTTGACCTACAATGCCTATTAGTCCTGGCCATCAGAGCCAGTGGGGAGTGATGCTGGGGGCTGCAGGCCAAACATCTGGAGGACCACAAAGGGAAAACAGCTCCAAGCTGGAGAAGTCCCCTCCCTGCTCCCAGAATTCCAGCATGGTGGAGACGGCATCCTGTGAAGCAGCTGTGTGGCAGGAGGTTCAAGGGACACAAGACATAAATAAGCTACAGAATTTGTCACCTCAGGATGTGCTGGTGGGCACAGCCATTGGCTTGGATGGGTTTACAGGGGGATTAGATAAGTTAACTGGAGGTTAAAATTATGTATGCCAACTAGTCAGGATGGCGAGGTACTGCCTCCAGTATCAGTAGCTGTATGCCTGTGAATACCAGGCTCTGGGATAGAGTAAGAGGAGAAGGCCACTGCCCTTGTGCCCTGTACTATGGGAAGGGCCTTCACAGAAAGCCCTTTCTTTACTGCCTCATCAGTCTGATATTCATGGCATGGGGACAAAATGTCCTT